CGGCGGGGTAGGAGGGGAGACGGTGGTCTGCGGAGGCGCAGACGGTACTGCGACAGAGGGCTGAGTACACTCTGTCGGGTCCTGCGAGACCTCAACTCCAGTAGCGAGAGGGGCAAACCGCGACGGGGATGTTGGGAAGCCAACTACTGAGGAGGGCACAGGTGTACACTGCACCGTGGCTAGGAAGCGCCACGGGGATGCGAGGCGCCGGGGGGGGGTTGAGCACGACACTGGCGGGAAAGGTCAGCGTAGTGGCGATCGAGGGCGGTAGTGTAAGGGCACCGCGAGGAGGTATGACCTTCCTGGCGGCATAGCAAACACCCACGCCGGCCCAAAATGGTCGCGCGCTCCTCAACGGAAAAAACACCACGAGGAGGGACAAAGCCCTGAGGGACGTCCTGCTGAGGGACCTCGGGGGGGACGCGCCAGCGTGACCGGGGCGGCTGCGTACCCCGGAGACGGCGGAGAGGATGAGCTGGAGGCGCTCGGCCATAGGGAGGGTAGTGTCCTCCAGGTGGTAGTGGACGGCCTCGCCGAGGTCGAGGTCGTCGCTATGGTCGCCCTCTAACGACAGCGGGGCAACAACGTCCTGCTCATCATACTCGAGCGCGCTGAAGCGGCGCAAGAAGTGGCGGCCCTGCTGCGCGGAACGGGGGGGGCGACCTTGGAAAGGTAAACGGCGTTGGGAAGTGCCGTGAGAGGAGGAAGAGGCGTAGCCGCTGAGGCTGGGAAGAGGAGGCGGGGTGAAGACGGGCCTGCATCCGCTGATGGTCCCTTGCGGCCTCGTAAGCCAGCGGGGCCGATGTGAACTCGTACTGCCATAGCTCGGAGCGGTACTCAAGGGGAAGGCTGGCCAAAAAACGATCGATAAGGGCAGCCTCGGGAAGGAACGCCACATCCCAAATGAGGCAGGCGTCTTGAAAGACCTGGATGTGGCGATCCAGGCCGGCAGTGCCACCAGAGCCGGACCAGCGTGTAATGACGACACGCTCGAAGGCGTCAGTCATGTCGTGTCGGGCTCCGAAGCGATCCTCGAGGAAGGCCTGAAAATCTATGAAGGTCGGAGTCCGACCCGCATAAAGGGAGTAAGTGTAGAAATTTTCCCAGGCGTCAAAAGGACCGTCACGCAGGCGCGTGGAGAGGTGACCCACCCACGTGTCGGGTGGGGCACCCATAAGCTGGAGGGTGCGGGTGGTGGCAGACTGTAGCCACCGAGACACGCGTATGCCTGTACCGTCATACAAGGCAATGTCCGTCAAGCGGACGAGTGGTGCGCCACGGTTTTGACGGCGAGGGGATCGAGGAGCAGAGGCATGTGCTACGGCTGAGTAAGTTGGCGCAGGTCCGGGGGAAAGGGGGGCAGTTGACTGTGCGTCCAGGCCGCATGGGGGAGCGGCGGGGGCAACAACGGCAGGCTCCGAGGGAGCTGCGGTAGAAGGGGTCGCAGCAACCGAGGGAATATGAAGAAGGTAGAATGGGGCTGGATAGGGTGCAGGGCGAGGGAAGCGAGCCTACATGGAAGGAAGGGTAAAGGAAGGAGGGGGTGTGCCCGAAGGCGCGACCACCTGTGAGGGTGGGTGTGGCTGAAGGCGTAAGAGGGCGAGATCGGTCCGGGTCTGAGCAAGCTCGTCCTCGAGACGTTGGACGTAGATCGAGCGAGGAGTGGCAGGAGGAAGAGTGGGAGAAGCGGACGCACGAGCGGCGCGGTGCATCCCAGAGGAGGAAGAGCTAGGTGGCGTTGTGGTCGTGCGAAGGGGAGGGAGAAGCAGGTCACCCGGAAAAGCTGAGACCATGATAGCGGGTTGTGGTCTCGTGGCCGTAGTGACCGGAATATGGGCGAGTGCGCCCGTAGACTGAGGGAGGACCTGACCCGTGGCAGCCGTCGTGCTAGGGGCGTGGACGGTCACCAAGATGGTTGGGTCGGGGGCAGCGGAGGAGGAAGCTCCACCGTGGCCACCCTGTCGGAGGGCTGGGGACCCGGACTGGGAGCCAGGAGAAGAGAGAGAATCAAGAGATGAAGGACAAGCAGCGTCTTGGAGTTGCTGCATGCCGGCGGCAAGGATCGCCACATGTGCCTGTAAGGGCGCGAGGACTGCGAGTTATGCCTGAATGGGCGCGAGGAGGAAAGTAAGGAGGGTGTGCAGATTCCCCTGGGGCTGATGGCCCTGGCCTGCTGGCACGGGTGTGGAGCCCGGTGTCGTGGTCGTCGCCACGTCGGCGGCGTGTGGCACACCGTCGGCCATGGGGAGGTGACGGGCCAGAGTGGAGGGGGCTAGAGGAGGTCCGCGTGAGCGGAGGGCATAGGGGGGGGTCCGTAGAAGAAAGCAGCGGAGGCGCTAGCAAGGCTAGCGCGGGCGCCGTCAAAGGGGGAGGGGTGGTTCGGGTCCAGGGTGCCCGAAGAGGAAGGGGAAGTAGGGGGGGAGTTCGAAGAACCCTAAACCCTAGAAAAACCCTAAGAAAACCCTAACTTAAGTTTGAGTGGTTAGGGTAGGGTACCGGTGACCTAATCAAAAAAAAAAAAAAAAATAGCAACCATAGGGGGGGGAGCCGGGACAAAAATAAATAAACAGCGAGATTTCAAGAGAAAAATAAAAATAAATAACGAAATAAATAAATAATAAAAATAATTAAAAAAATATGCAAATAAAATATGAAGAGAGAAATAATATTTATTTTTTCAGAATTTTCGGTAGCATTTCCCTACCCCCCATGGGGTCAAGAATGTGCCAAGGGGAAAGGAGAGACCAAGATAAGCACACTAGGTTTCAAACTGCCGCAAATTAAAATTTTTAAAAAGTAAATAAAAAAATAATAAATAAATAGATAAATGAATAAATAAGTAAATAAGTGGATGAGGAGGTGGAGAGATATGAACTATCTGATTTTTCAAAAATTTCGGCAACATTTCGTTACCCCCATGGGGTTGAAGTGTGCCGAAAAAACTAAGAGAAAGAAAAAACAGAAAAATTCGGCAGCACTTCGTTATCCCCACGGGGTCAAAACGTGTGTCGAAAGCAAGAAAGACTAACACCTAATCAGATTTAAGGTTGCCGCAAAGAAAATCGAATTTTCAGAATAAAGAAAAGAAAATGAAATAAATCAGAAAAGAGGGTGGGGAATAAGATAATTCGAATTTTGTTTTTTGGAAAAGAGAGGAAATAGAAATCAAGAGAAGATAAAAAGAAAAAAAAGGAAAAAACAGAAAATTTCGAAGTTGGGGGGAAGGGAGATGAAAAGGTGAAGGAGAGAAGAGAGAAATGGGTGCGAGAGAAAAAAAAAGTGAAGGGGGAGATGGGGAAGTGATGGGGTTGTTGGGGGAGAGGAGGGTGAGGGAATGAGAGGGATAGGGATGGGAAAGGTGGAGAGGGATCAAAAAGCAAAGAGAGAAGAGGAGAAAGAAAAGGAAAGAAATGAATAGAATGGAATAAAAATGGTGGGTGGTGGGAGAAAAGGTGGGGTGGGGAGAGGAATATGAGTAAGAGGAAAGAGAGAAAGGGAGAGAAAGTGGGTAAGTAGGGAGAGGGGAGAAGTGATACCTGGCCCTTGGTGTCTCCAAGGGCACAAGGTATACCACGATCAGGAGGGTCTTGACCTTCGCTGCAGCAAGCCAGCTGGAGGAGAGAGAGGGTTGAGATCTTGATCAGCCCCTAGCAGCAGTTCTGCAGATCTGCAGATTTAGGGTCTGTTGTGTGAGCAGACCCTCACCACTGTAGAGCAGCCCCTTAAGCAGGGGGGTCTTCAGTTCCACCACAAGCTGCGATGTGGCTGTGAAGATGGCCACGCGCACAGGCAACAGCAGCTAACGGGGGGGGGGGGGGGGGGGGGGGGGGGTAAATAGCTGGCACACAACTTTCAACAGCAGTGTGCCACTATATAAGACCATATGCACACTGTGGTCAGTGTGTTATGGTAGTGGTATACGCACGCGCAAGCCCAGCAGAGGCAACATCCCTGATCTTGATAAGATAAATCCGGGAGCGGGGCTGGGCGGGGCACCGGGGCGTGTGGCGACCTTGGCCTTGGGCTTTTTTCGTGATGGCACGTGTTTTTTTTGCCACGTGTCACTCTCGTGCGACAGTGTTTGCGCGCGCGCGCGCGCTCCTGATGGCACATGTTTTTTTTCGCCACGTGTCACTCTCGTGATGCAGCGTTTTTCTGCCCTCGTTTTCGTCGAAAAATAGTCCGAAAACAGCCAAAAACCCGCCTGTCAGGTTTTGTTGTTTTCCCAGCTGTACGGGGTGGTGTGTGGGAGCGGGGAACATTCCCACTCCGATACCAATGTGGCGGACCCACCGGGTGTGGTGCTCCGCCAGAGATAGAGATGGAGATGGAGGAAGAAAGGGGGGCTAGATGGCACAACGCAACTCCCACGCCGGACTCGAACGCATGTACTCCCAAACTGTGCGAAAGTAGAATGAGGCAGAAAACAGACAAC